AGTAAATAATAAAAATGAAAATAATAAAAGTAAAAGAGATGCCCTGGGGAAAAGGTCATACTAAGTTAAAGCTAGTCTGAAGCTGCAAAAGCTCATGAAAAGAAGCGAGGGAGACGACTCCAGAGTTTTAGGGCTGTGACTGAAAATACACCGTCGCCTCTAAGAGCCAATCGTAGCCAATCATATCTTAAGAACATGACCACGTTCCCTGAGTCTAGCAGGTGCAGTCGTGTTTGGCTCAATCCAACAACATAACAAGTTGCAGTAATCCAGTCTAGATGTAAAAACAGCACGGATGCAATGTTCCCCCCTAATTTTTCATGTGTCTGAGCGAACACACAAACTCCCTGAGCGGTCCCTTGGACCACTGTGAGCAACAGCAGACGTGTGCACTGTGGTCACGCCAGCATCGAATCCATCCAAGTTACATCGTTTATTAAAATAATCAAATTACAGCAAGTAGAAAGGACAGCACTGCGACGCTGGACTTGCCCTTACTCTGGGCTCCCTCTTTATTCTGGCAACTGGTACAAAGAAAACAGCACACAGTCGTCATCAACAGTGTGAAAAGCAACTGCAACATTCAGTTCACCAGCCTGGGAGTATTTTCCTTTTTTCCCCCCAAACATAACACTTAATAAAAGACTAATATATATTTCTCCAACACAACATCGACTTTCTTTAAAAGTTCTAGCTGAAACCAAACCTGTGATCATGTAGTGGCAGTATTATTTATTTATTTTTCTCCTTATGGTAACTGAGAAATGAGAGACATTATATCTCCTTTTTCCTAACCAACAACAACAATAACATATAAAAACAGCTTTTCTCTTATAAAACAAACATCATTCTTCCTCATTTTTTAATACAACAGCATCAACTAAAACTTGTACTTAACAGTGCCTACCTGATACAAAGAAAACATTCAGTTCCGTTAAGAATTAGAACAATTACAATCTCACAGAGAAACAGAGCTGAGTACAAGTCAAAAAGCACTCGACTAGCTAACGAATATTAGCTTAGCATGCTAACTAAAAATGCTACTCGTGAATAAAGTTACTAGCCATGCATCAAAGTGCCTGTAACTTTCAGGATACATGCTAGTACTGCTTACAATCAAAACACATGTTGACAATTACCACTATGAGAATGTTTTCATTAATACACATACCAAATTGACAACAGCATGGCTCACAAACAATTTGGAACCTTAACAGTTGCAGTTGCGGTATTTATCCACCAGGTGGCTTTGGAGCGTGATGTCATGGGAGGGGCCGTGGCCGCCGAGGCGCCATTTTAGCAGGCCAAACAAAGGGCTAAGGAGCAAAAGCATAAGTAATAGTTCGCGCTTGCTGTGTTGTCGGTTGTAATGTTATATCGCACGATCGGGAAGGGAATAAGCTGGAAAATGGGCTCTGTTTTTATCCTTTTCCACCTGGAAGCAATGTGAGGGAGCTCATGTATTGGATGTTACCAAAAGAAGGCATCTAGCCTGGATAGCAGCTGTGAGACGAGCTGATATCCAGTTCTCTACCATCCCCAGATATCTGTTGGTGCTCCAGACATTTTCATTAAGGTGAGATTTAAATAAGTTCATATTACTCTTTATAACCTATTAGTTTCATTTTCAATGCGCTCTGAGGTCATACCAAATTAGAACAAACATCCTAATGAGTGATTTTGTAGATTTACATTCTATTTATAGAGTTGCTAATTGTTTTTCATTATTGCAGGCAAACCAGCCTATGAAATGGATGAAACAAATCCTGAGTGGGTTCCTACACATGGGGCACTCCGAAATCCCTGCTTCAAACTACATGCTACATACCACCATGCCAATCAGATTACATCTTCCATGTGAGGGTGAGCGTGCCCCAGTGTGGTAGTAAAACCAGGGAAAATGCTCTTGTTAAATACTCTTAAAAGTCTTGTGCTACATTGTAACTGATGTGATGTTCTACAAAGTGGTTTTAATAATTTAAAAAAAGGCAAACGTTTGTTTCTTTATTCAACTTTTGAACAGTGGTACTTAGTAAGTACATATTCAGTAAATGCAAATTATTTACATGGCAATGCACTTGAGGCATAAATGTAGACCCCTAAATACAACATCATCGGTTATTCAGAACAGAACTATGCTTGGAGAAATATTTTCCCATCAGTTGAGACAACACTCCTTCACAGTAGCAGGTGGAATTTTTCTTTTCTGAGGACGGCTTCTTTTCCCTGTCACTACAGACGGTCTGTTTATGTTTTGATTGAGAGCCTTTTTTTTGGGTCTATCTTATAGCCAACCACTGACTGTATCTTGGTCACATTACCCAGCAAAGCCCAGTATGCAGGTTCATCTGTAACAGTCCTTGTGCCACGGATCAACACTATTGCTTCTACTTTAAACAGAAGAGCAGTGACGTGGGTGCAGGTCTCCACGACTCCGGCCATACAGCTGCAGCGGGCGGCTTCAACCTTCCCTGTGATGCTCACAGTGACCCACAGCTGCAATGCTGGTTCAGTCTTTGAGAGTGCAGGACCTGAAAAACACACAAAGTTCATTTAAAGACAAGAACTTTAATGAGGCAAGGCCGATGTGTTTTATCTACTTTCAAATCCATTTATCATAAATGTAAGAAATAAAGTGTTTTTATGTATCATCTATAGAACGCTGCATGCTATATTCTAAATCTGCCTGTTTTTGGTTTTGTTGTTTTAATCTGCCAGCAAAAAATGAACCTAAAGTATGTAATGCAAGGATGTAATCACTTTCAAGATGGAGAGAGCATAAAGTTTGACTTTAAGTGACAATTATGAATCACTTAATATGATAAGGAGATTCTGCAGGTCATTGATCAATGTATAAAACCAAAATAGAATATATTTGTAGTTACACAGGACAAACACTTAATCAATATGTATAAGTAGGATTATTTATAATAAATGTAAATTAATTAGTGAAATTTCTTTAACCATAGAGAATAACTACATCCTTCAGGACAATGTCACATCAATGCACTGAACTCACTATGTTATCTATCTAACAGAGCCTCAACATGTTCTCACTGTAATTTCCCCCTCATGAATGAATTTATGCTGCACTAATGTGAATGTTCGGGGGAAAATCAAACACATTTTACTCGCAGTACTCAAGCTGACTTACCTTTGTTTGAATGACGGCGTAGTCACGACGTGGAGGCTTAAAAATAGCCAAATCTTGTACCCGATCCTTGGTGAACTGGATGTGCGCCTCCAAACATTTATAATTGCGAAATTGGTTCGCCGTGTATGCGCTTACTCCACAGACAAGGTAGGAAAATATATCAGGCTAAGTCAATCGCGACTGATCTTCAGGGCTTCTACTCCACTGCCGTTATTTCATACGGGTCCACATTTCCCATGCACGCTATTTTTTGCAAGTACCGTCTCTTTGCATCTGGACGCAATCTGTCTCTATAGCGTCCTTTTTCTTTTGAGCTGCTTTTAAGTGTGGTTTGTAGAAATCTTCCTTCCAACATAGTGTTTGTTTTGATTCGTGGCCTGCTACAATGGTGCCGCGCTCCCACAATGCACTGCGGCGTGCCGTCAACTCCAAAACCCCATTCACAAAGCACATCAATTTTGAGGAAATTCATTAAGTTGTTTTCTAACTCTGTTCCATTCGCTCTTAATGAAAAGAACATAAAGCGATTTACATTTTCTCAGACTGTCCAAAAAATACACAGTGCGGCTCTGCAGACTTACAGCACAGTCTAATAACTGAATTAGCACAGGTATCCGGTTGTTCAGTGATGACGCGACGAATCCTACTTCCGGGCCTAAAGTAGTCTGCGTTTAATAT